AACTTCAAACAAAACATAAATGGGCAATTTTTATAGCAGCCATTTTGTTTTATCCCTACTAATAAATACCAGCGACTGTACTGCCGTACTTAATGATTGAATAATCCAAACACACAAAATTAGTTTTTGTTTCTTTGTTGTCTTTAAATAAATAAAGCTGAAACTGGAACACAATAATGAATGTTTTTTTTTTTTTACCAGATATGTATACTGGGGTGAATACCCCCTATGCTTCGCTGCTTGTTTGGGTCAAGAGGAGTGTTATCGGCTCCTTCTAGCCAAAGGGGCAGACCCCAACAGACAAGACACTAATGGAAACACTATTACTCATATAATGGTTATCTATGAGAAAATAGTAAGTATTGTCTATAGACGTTCAATTTTGCTGGATCCTACGTCACACACGTATATATATATATATATTGATTATTTATATTCTCCAAATCCAATTTACTGTTTTACGTATTTGAACTTAAGTTTCTCTGAAGTGTCTAATTTAATTATTACATATTGGTTATTTCGACTTTCTGTTTTTAAAATACGCTCCACTTTTTCCCGAGTGATACGTCTTTCTAATTATAAAACTAAACAGATTTTTTTTTATTAAACTTTAATTTATTTACTTCTCTGTTTGCGGACTTACAACGCTAGAATCCGGGTTTCGATACCCGTGGTGGACAGAGCACAGATAGCTCATTGTGAAGCTTTGTGCTTAACTACAAACAAACAAACAAACACTTCACTGTTTATACTTGTTACTCATTGTGTAGATATAGTTTTGAATTTTGTTAATTAATCTTCACCTGTAAGTCTGTCTGTTTCCACATCTCTGTGATCATGTTAAACATGGTATATTGTTTACAACTTTCTGTTTTACTAGATCGTGTTAAACACGGTATATTGTTTACAACTTTCTGTTTTACTAGAACGTATTAAACACGGTATATTGTTTACAACTTTCTGTTTTACTAGATCATGTTAAACATGGTATATTGTTGACAACTTTCTGTTTTACTAGATCATGTTAAACATGGTATATTGTTTACAACTTTCTGTTTTACTAGAACGTGTTAAACATGGTATATTGTTTACAACTTTCTGTTTTACTATATTATGTTAAATATAATGTATTGTGTATAAGTGTTATTAAATCATGTTCAAAATGGTGTATTGTTTTCAAACTTTATTTATTCTAGAACATGTTCAACATGGTGTATGAGCTTGGAGCTTCTATCAGTATCGTCAATCGGCAAGGCCTAACTCCATTGACACTAGCTGCAAAGTTGGCGAAGAAAGAGGTTCGTTGTTTAAATTCAAAGTTACATTGTGTAACCCTGGTTACCCTTAACCTGGTGTTTAAAACTTTAACTATTGGCATGTTTTCAGTTTAACATTTTTTTATAATCAGAATAAATTTTCAATGTCATCTCTTTTAATAAGTTTAACTCGGAAACTATATTTTTTATACTTGAATTGTGAGTTTTCGGGGTTTTTAAAAATTTAATTTAATTTTTTAATTGTGAGTTTTCGTTACTTTTGATACTTGAATTGTGTATTTTTTTTCCGTTCTTTTTTACTTTGAATTATACAAACCTTTCCTTTTCTGCTCTTTTCGAAACTTTTTTCTTCGAAGCAGCAAAACAATAAAAACGCGTATTGTTTGTTAGTTTTTTTGTTTTTTTTACATGTGTAAAAGAAATATATTTCGTTTTCAGATTTTCTTTCACGTTTTGAAACTGCAGAGAGAGATCTACTGGCAGCTGGGTAACATCACCTGTGAAGCTTATCCTCTGGATGAGATCGACACGATTAACAACCAAACAGGAGAGGTTAACAAAGCGTCTGTGTTGAATCTCATGGTTTATGGGGTACGATTCTCGCTAGTCTGGCTCAATGGTTATTTGAGTAATTTAGAAATACAATTATACCATTCCTGTCTTAGGCCTAGCAAGGAGCGTGAAGCTCGATGGACATTTGTTTGTTTGCCTCAGAATTTCGCGCAAAGCTACACTAGCGCCATCTACCCGTAACCGACCCTAGTTTTAAAGTGATAGATTAGGGAGAACATATCTAGTCCGCAGCATCCACCGTCAATACTTGCGCTACTCTTTTTCCAATGGAATATTTGGATATGACCGTCACTCTTATAGCGCATCTACAACCCCAAAGTGTGGAGCGCATTTTTTGCGGCAAAGGGGTCGCGAACCGTAAATCGTTGGATTCATAACAAAGTTCGTTACCCATTAGGCCCTGCTCGACCCATCATAGGATGACTGGATCAGCTTACAAGTATATGTGTTTTATGGTACATTATTTGAACTAGAGGTTAGTTAAGTTTGGATAAAAGTGGATTGTGGTCCTCGGAATCACAATCCAAAAGGCCCTGCTCGATTCTACAGGATCACGAGAAGAACAGGGAAGACGGAGGAGTTGAAAAGTCCTTTTCAGAATAATTTATCCTTTTATTATGTTTCTGTCTTTGTTTTTATGTTTTATCTTTTCTATGTTCCTGTTTTTATTTTTTTTCGTTACTTTTTATCTTTTTGCCGCTTTTTAATTTTTTTTTTCTCGTTAATATTTTTATGTTTTTAATTGTTATTTTTATGTTTTTTTATCATTTTTGTTGTTATTTGATATTCTTATAGTTGTTCTTCACACTTTTTTGGCCCCTAGTAGCTTAGCGATAAAATTTGGATTCCAATATCCTGGAATAAACACATTGCAGAAATGAAAAAAAAAAAAATTGTGGCAACGAGCAAACTGTGTCAAAAGATTAATAAAAAGTAAAAATACAGGGACAACAACAACAACAAAGAACATAATTAAAATGTATAAACAATATATTAAATCTGTTATCCAATACGTGGACAAATGTTGAAAATATTCAAATTTCACAAATAACTACAGCTTTTAGAGAACAAAGAAGCACAAATTTTACATTCTTGCACAAATAAGCAAACATATTACCAATAAAACACAGACTCGTAGACTGCTCGTTCCGCTACTTTATATAAAAATAATTTGTTAACTAAAATAGATCGCTCTATCACACACGATAACGATAGAGTTGAGTATTTCTTCCCATTACACGTATATTATAAGAACAAGACCACCTACACTAGACTCTAAAATTATCGCTTAGATTTCGATAATTGAAGTGTATTTAAAAGGGTATGTTATGACAAATACGCGTTGGTAACTATGTCAAGTGAAAAAAAAGTGACATTTTCTTCCGGAACCGCTTGTTTACAAAATGTAATACATAGAATAAACCTGATATAATAATGTTCTTGGTAGGATTTGTGAGATTATTAACAATAGTCACCAATTCAGAACGAGCGGAGACACGAGAAATTTCGTTATGTAGTTTAGTTTTTAACAGTAAACAAACCTTTTGTTATTATTAATTTTTATTGTTACTTATTATTCCTTTTTTTTAACTTTTACTAATATTTTGTCCCATTCTTTTTTATTGTATATCATTTTATGTTATTTTTCTGTTGCTTTTTATTTCAATATTTTTGTTATTTTTTATCCTTTTTTTCTTAGTTTTTGTTGTAAATTTTATGACGTCACTGAGAACGTTCTCAGTGACGTCAGTCTTCTTCAAAACGTGATGAACCAGGTTACTAACACTTGGCCCCAAAATATCAAGTTATGTCATATATATATATATATATAGTCATGACTGACATTAAATGTTATTAACTTTAAA